ATCAAAATAAAAATTTGCTGTCTTTTACAATAAACCCAAATATTCAGATATTAAACACTAAAATGTTAAAAATATTTTTCTTAATTATTTCAAGAAAACTGTTGCTAATTGCTCCCTAATCTATATTAACAGGATTAAACAAAATAAAGAAATTATTTATTAAAGTTTTTGTATTTTAATTTAAGAATTATGTCAAGAAAAATATTCTTGCTATAGACAAAGCAATCTTGGCGATCGTTATTATTTTTGTATTTATTGCAAATTTGATTTTGCTCGTTGTTATGTTGACAGACATTTAAAACGAAAGAGACATTCAATAAATAAAAAGGCTTTTGAAGGTTTGTTTTTAAATATTTACGTGTATATGTTGTCTAGCTTTAACATTTATTTTAAAATATTTTTTGTTAGACAAGTAATGATTTTCACAAAAAATATTCGACAGACGAATGCTGCCCAATTCTTTCAACTTATCCAGCAAATTAATTTAATATTTTTTATAATATTTATTTTCTTATATTTTCTAGACACTGCTAAAGGAGATATTAATATTAATTCAAACTTTGTGATTAAATGTAAAGACACCGATGGATGCTTTACAAAAAGTGTTCAATTTAAAATTATGTCTACTGTATTTATTGCAAACGGAGTCTAATTAATAAATCTAGTGTTCTTAATGTACATCTACAGTCGATATCACATTTAAACCATAAAGCTATATTTAAAGGTATTTTTGTATGGTGAATTAGAATGATTAGGAATTTAATTTTTTGTAAAAATTCGTGAATTCAGATTTATAGTCGAAAATTTAAATATTCAAAGAATTTAATTGAATAAACAATTAAAATAATTTAATAAATATTTTGGAATTATATACTGTAAAACTATTTTTTGTCGCTTCAATTTGTTAGGAGTTCAGATTTTAAGTTTAAGCTTAATGTTTATCAATTTTTATAAATTTTTAGGAAATAAAAGCCAAAAAATTCTAATAAAATGAAGGCATTTTTAATTTATATTTTCCTTTTAAGGACAAAATGATCCAATGGTTATTCCTAAAAATAATATCTCCAAACTAGGGTTGCGCCCCGAGCCTCGGGGTTGAAAAAGTCGGGGGTCGGGGTTTTCGGGGTTGACAAAGTCGGGGTCGGGGTCGGGGTTGCTCAAATTGTTCGGGGTCGGGGTCGGGGCTGAAAATGATGTCGGGGTTCGGGGTCGGGGTCGGGGGTCGGGGTTGAAGTAAAAATTTACAAAATCCAGCATTTTTATCCAACATTACTGTTCAAAATCAACATTTTCATTAAAAAATGAGAATGTTGTGACTTATAGGGGTTTTTTTTGGCTGGACCGATTTGGTCAAATGAGGTGTCATTCGAAAGAGCTCGCCGAGCTGAGTCGATTGAGGGGCGAGTGGAGCCGATCCGACAATCAGGGACCGAGATACAGACCCCTGAAGTTTGAAAAAGAGAAGGGGGGAGTAAGCTCACTTTGGGGTGAAAAATTCGAAAATGCAAATAATAGCTCATTCGACCCCCCTTCTCTTTTTCAAACTTCAGGGGTCTGTATCTCGGTCCCTGATTGACTCAGCTCGGCGAGCTCTTTCGAATGACACCTCATTTGTCCAAATCGGTCCAGCCAAAAAAAACCCCCTATAAGTCACAATACCCAAAAATGAACTTAATCTTCATTATCTTCACTTTCTGTATCTATTTCCTTATTAGTTGAAGGCGCAAGAAGTACTTTATCCAAGTTATCCTTTATAATCCCGAAAATCCCCAAACCCACAAAATAACTCTTACTCCCCCTCTTATGTAAAGGGATTGTCCTAAAGCCTCTGTATCCATTCATTGAGTCTAGCGCCGCAGGCAAAAACTTTGAGAATTTTGGAAGGTCAAGAGCCAGATTTCTTCCATTTTCTGCGCCGCAGGCAAAAATTTTGAGAAATTTGGAAGGTCAAGAGCCAGATTTCTTCCATTTTCTGCGCCGCAGGCAAAAATTTTGGAAAATTCATGACTAGTTTAATATTTCTAATATTGTTTCAAGTTTAAAATATTAAAAAAAAAATAAAGTTGCAAATTTAAAATCAAGATCAAAGTTTAAAAATATTTATTTTTGAGAAGAAAAATCTTCTCAGCCTCATTCCCATCCATGGATTCGAACAACATCCCTATCAAAATAGCTAAATGGGTGAAGTCAGTTAACCTAACCTCACAACCACCGACCAACAAAAGGAAATAGGAGAAAATATAAATATTCCTTTCCCTTTTCCTTCATATATTTAACATCAAAGTCCCGATCCCGTTCCGATCTCTTGTTAATTAATGCAGTTTGAGTCGGGGGCATAAAAATTTTTCGGGGTTCGGGGTCGTCGGGGTCGAACTTTCGGGGGTCGGGGTTTTCGGGGTTGGGAATGTCGGGGTCGGGGTCGGGGTTTTAGGTCAAAAAATGTCGGGGTTCGGGGTCGGGGTCGGGGTTAGTCGGGGTCGGGGCGCAACCCTACTCCAAACCAATAACCAACGTTAATTTAGTTTATTCATCATCTGATGAAGAAAATAGAGAAAATAGTAATTGCAAGTTCTAATTAATTAATACTTTTATACCTTAATATACCTTAATTGAATTTATTTAAATTAGAATTTAAAAATTAACTAAAATTTTGATATCGACATTTTGGGATTTTGAATTTTTTTAATTACGTTATTCTTTACTAATCAAAAATTTCAGCTGATGTGAGCTTGATTTAGACAGAAATTAAAAAAATCAAACAATGACTTTATTATGTCCTTACCAGGAATCGCACCGCAGATTTTATTCAATTCTTGATTTCGGGAACCAGGAATTCACTACCCAGAAAACGTCGGGAATTTCCGATTTTCGTGAATTGGGAATTTTTTCGGCGCGATCCCAAGTCCTTACAGACTCAGCTAAGATTAGATTTCCTTTAATAAAATCACTAATATTTATTAGTTTCATCAAAATCAAAGGAGAATGGACAATCATTTACGCGTTATCTTAATCTTAAAAGGAGATATAAAAAATTGCAATATTGTGTTTACTGTAAACAACATTATAAAGGTTCATGTGTTAAGGATCACTTAGGAAGAAAGAAACACAAAATGTTAAAAAGGGCTTTTGAAGGTAATAAATTTCAGTATACTATTATTATGTTCAAACAAATAATAGTGATTATTTGAATATCCGTATAGATAATTAATAATAAACTGACACAACTCGTAAAAACCTGCAAAATTTTTTTAAAAATCATTAATTAACACTAAATAATGAAAACATATTTATGATTCTAAAATTTAGTAAAAAACATCGTCAATAATGTTGAAAATACCAGCAATATTTCAACACAAACAACGAAATTATTACAAGAATCAAATAAAGGTTATAAAGTTGACCCCCACATATTAATGCTGAATTCAGTCCCAAGGGTGATATGGATTTGAAATATTTTTTTACAAAATTATTTTATCTATCTTTATTACAAAAGCAATTATTGTTTTTCAGAAAATCAAAATTCAACAATAAATACATTAAAAGCTAAAAACAATTATTATTGTATTTATTGCAAACGTTACTATCCTAGAAGAAGTATGAGATATCACTTAAAAACTTTCAAGCATCTCAGACTGAAAAAAGCTTATAAAGGTTTAGATTTTTGATTTAATATACGTAAATAATTTAGTCTCTATTACAAATTAAAGACGCCCTTCTTTTACTCGAAAGATTATTTTTTTTACCTTAAGCGGTTTTTTATTTTGTTGGTAAAAATAATTTTTCATAATATAAAAAATATCTGCAAAAATTCAAATAAATTATCGTTTTTACAAGGAATCGTATAAAATAGATTTACTGTTTATTTTCAGAGTGCATAAATGATAAAAATATTCTAAAAAGTAAAGAAAATGTTGAAGAAAATTATGAAGAAATGATTGAATCAACTGGATGCTTCAAGAAAAGCTCATTAGGAAATAAATATGCTTTCTGTGTTTATTGTCAAATAGATATTTCATTCTTACGATTAATTAATTTAGAATATCATATGAAAACAACCAAACATGCTCTAGCAAAAAATGCTTTTGAAGGTAAATAGATAATGGAAATTAATTGAAAACTGTTTAAAACGGTTATATTGTTTTAGAACGGTTAGGTTAAATTCTTCATACATATTAAAGTATAATATGATTGAGGGGTTTTTGTGTGAATTTCGAAATATAAGTTTAAAGACATTAATCATAGTATACTGAAATGAAAACATTCAGAATTATAACACATTTGAAATTAAATATTTTTGATAAATTCAAGTAATTTTTAGCTATATGCGAAAATGATGTCAATAATAATGATTGTGATAACGAAGACGAAGTATTTAAAAATCGCAACAAAATAAGAAAAAAGTACAAAAATAATAAGGAATTTGAAGCAAGAGAAATAGGATTGTTTTATGAAAGTGATTCTAGTTTATCTTTAGACGAAGAGAGTAATGCAGCTAAAATTGCCTCGCTTATGAGCCAAAAAAGAAAAAGAAAAGTGCATAATTATTCAAACTTTTAATTTTAAAAAATGGAAAAGTAATATGTATTTTCTTTTTCATATCATTTTTTATAATTGAAAATATATTATAAAATATACTCAATAGAAAATACTTTTATAAAAAAGCTTAAATTCAGAATTTTGGCTTAAAGTTTTTAAAAACTTTTAAATTTTGATTTAATTTTAAGTATTTCTTTCGAAATACATTTCCAAAATTTATCCCAAGTAGTATAGAAATGAATTTAAGTTACTCTAGAGGAAAGATATAAAATTTTGTAAATAACTTTTACAAAAGGAAAAAAGGGAATTTTCTTCCAATTTTAGAATTTTAGTTCGAGAGTATTAAGTATTAGTGTAAATATTGGTAATATGATAGAAACCGATCCCTAAATTATGACAACACACCTCAAACTTTCAAGTTTTATCAAAAATATATTTTTAATTAAATGTTTACCTTTAAAATCTTAACGAGCTCCATTTGTACTTCCCTCTATTGTTGTATCCTCAACTGTACTTCCCTCATCTGTACTCCCTTCCGTAGGACTTTCGCTAGTATTATCCTCAATTGTAGTTTCTTGAATTGTAGTATCCTCAACTGTAGTTCCCTCCTCTGTGGTAGTTTCAATTTCAGTTGTTTCTGCCGGTGTAGTTGTTGTACTTTCTACAATAATATTAATTAAGAACTGTTTAACTGCCAGGAGTTTACGGATTCCTATTTAGCATGGTAACCAAACTAGTTTAATTCTAACTAAGATATTAGTTTTGGCTAAAGCTAGTAACTCCTAGAAGTTAACAGCCATTGTAATCATCTCAGACTATATGGAAATTCAGATCCGACAAATATAAGTAGAGAACAGGAAAAGATTCAAAACTAAAAAATACATAAAATTGAAAAAACCTAAAGTTCTCATTAAACTACAATTTTTAAATAAATACCCAATTATATATTTAAAACAAAACCAGTTGAAGTTGAGGTTGGAACAGTGGGAGGAGGGCAAGGATAATATACACCACAAGGTTGAACTACAGGTACACGATAAGCATATCCTTGTGCAAAACCAGGATTTGCCTGTTGATATGTTGGGACTTAAAAATTTAGGTTAAAATTTTATTTAATACATAAGCATAAATCACATATTTTTGAAATTACTCTGGGAACCTAATTTTTCTGTAAAGTGAAGGAGTACCGAGCACTTAAACGATTACGTTTAATAACGATTAGATCTCAATCCAAATTATAATTTATCAATAAATCTTTTCAAATCCAGCTCACAAGAGCACATAAGATTATTAATAATTTCGGAAATAATATGTGATTACTAACATAAGCTAGATTTAGTTCATCTGACTTAAAATCAACTTACAGCTTAATCACCCCCACAGAAGGACTTTCAGTTTTTATATTCAAAAATTAATTTTTTTTTTAATTTCCAAACCTTTTTGATGTCCCCCACCACCTCCAAGTCCATACTTATAACCACTACCTCCATAGCTTCCCCTTCCATAGCTTCCCCCTCCATAACTTCCACCGCCATAACCCCCACCACCATAACCCCCATAACTTCCCCCTCCGTAATATTCCAAGGAGAAAGGAAATATAATTGTCAAAATCATTGAAATGGAAGTAAAATAATTAGGCATTTTTAATTTATTTTAATTATATGTATTATTTTAATAATGTTAGCTAAATATAAAAATTATAAAAAACATTGACCGAGAGAAGAGGAATTTTATGAATTTTTGTTTAAAATTATAAGAAATATGTCGATTTAGAGGGGGAGGCATAGAGGAGAATGCTTTCTAGGGGGAGGCTGGAATAATTCTAAAAAGTGAACAATGCCTAGATAAATTTCAGATTGATTTAAAAACTGAATATCTACACAGTTTGGCAAGAATATTTATATATCCAAGAATAGTGAAAATATTTGACACTTAAACATGTTTATGAGTAATTTTTTAAGAGAAATTTTTTGTCATTTTACTTTTTTTAGAATAAAGTTTATATTTTAAAATGTTTTTCTTAGTCATTTCAAAAAAGTTGAAAATTATTTTAGTGTTATTTTAGTCACATAATGACATTTATGAATAAATTTTTTAATAAATTTTTTTTACAAAATTTTCATAAGTGACTATGTAGTAGTATGTACATATATGTAAATTAATCATACTTGAAAATTTAAAAAAAATTAAAAAGTGATATTTTTCTTGAAAAATATTTTTGTTTCTTTTATTTTTATCTAGCATTTACAATTAAATAAAATTTTTGTCATAAATGTCAGCCATTGTAATTTTTGATAATTTTTATTGGATAATTTTTTAAACGAAAATCTGCTATGTAAGTTACAAAACAGAAGCATTAGATCACGGACGGCACACTGACAATAGAAAGCCAATGTAAATTTATTGCTACTCTAAGAATCGTAAATTAAGTTTAATTCTCACATTGACAGAAATATCTAATGGAAACTACATATGTATACATATTCATTTTTTATTTTATTTAATTAAAAAAATTCAATTTCAAAAGAAACAGTATCTGATTTAAGTGTTAAACCAAAACATATAAACATCTAAAAATTTATTATTATAGTCATATCAATTAAGTGGTAATCATGGACAATCCGGGAGACACCTTAAAAACACCTTAAAATCCATTATTTTTTCTTGAAAATAGTTTATGTAGGTAATCGACCATGCTGAGTCCGAATCTGAGCTTAGAATTTGTTAATTTCGAACCCCGGACCCGATTTCGACCAAGTCGAATTCGGGGTAGAAATTCGAAATTACGATATTATGATCATTTTGACTCGTCTCTTCATTCTGAGTCGAATGGTATCAATATTATTCAGTTTCGACTATTTTGGGCGAAGTTATGATCAATTAAATAACGCTTGGTTAGACTTCCGTATACGAATCAGACATCATAACTTCGTCCAAAGTTGTCGAAACTGAATAATCTTGATACCATTCGACTCAGCTCGAATAGTCGCATCATATTAGCCATAAATTTTTAATTTCGAATTTTTTACCCCGAATTCGACTTGGTCGAAATCGGGTCCGGGGTTCGAAATTAACAAATTCTAAGCTCAGATTCGGACTCAGCATGGTCGATTACCTACATAAAACTATTTTCAGAAAAGAATATAATAATTTTTAAGGTGTCTCCCGGATTGTCCATGATTACCAATTAAGTAATTTAAAACAGATAATTAAAATAAATTTAAAAAAGTTTAGTTAAGCGACTAAAGCATAAAAATTAAACAAACTTTAATTTTAAACATTTTATGAGTTCGCGCCCAATTTTTAATATATTTATTTGCAATAGTTAAATAATTCTTTACATTTTTTAAATTTAACTGCTTTCCACATAAAAATTTTAAATTACACAAAGGATTTGCATGTAAGGTCTCGAATAATTTTTTTGATTTTTTAAGATTTTAAAAATAAAATCTTTTTTAAGATTTTTATTTGATTTTAGAATCATATTTAGAGATTAACAACTTAAGCAGTGAAATTTAATTTTCAAAAAAATCTTTTCCTCTTTTTCAAAGTATAGCCTATCGAAAAATCGAATTTCGGTGTAGACCTATTTTTATTTCTTCGACATTTTATACTTTAAGTGTCCGGTATATGTTTTCTCTCCAAAAAATGAAAATTTTGTTTATAAGTTATATGTAGTAGAAGAAAAATGTATAATTTAAACGAAGTTAATAAAAACTTTTCTTCAAATAAAAGTACCAAAAACTACAACAACACAGTTAACGAAGAAGATGAAGACACGAGTGACACAGTATCAATTCCTGATGTATCTGAAATTTTAAAAGCAGCTGAAGCATTGAAAAAGGAATTGGGAACTAAAGAAGAATCAGGTCTGCAAAGAAAAGACATTAGTATTTCTGTTGCCGGGTTTGCCCGACATTAGTATTTCTTAAAATCGAAAACTAATAAGATAGAAATTTAAAGCAATCCAAATAACATTTACTTAACAAAAAAACATAAAATGAGAATTTCGTCGAAATTTGGTTACACTTTTGCAGGTTACATAGCCACAGGACTTTGCTCGCTTCCTAAGCTTTTAGTTGCTGTCACATATAAAATCTCTTTTACAATAACCCCAAATATTCAGATATTAAACTCTAAAATATTTAAAATATTTTTAAAATTATCTCAAGAAAACTGTTGATAATTGCTTATATTAAGAGGATTAAACAAAATAATGTTTTATTAAAGCTTTTGTATCTAATTTAAGAATTATGTCAAGAAAAATATTCCTGCTATAAACAAAGCAATCTTGGCGATCGTTATTATTTTTGTATTTATTGCAAATTTGATTTTGCTCGTTGTTATGTTGATAGACATTTAAAACGAAAGAGACATTCAATAAATAAAAAGGCTTTTGAAGGTTTGTTTTTAAATATTTACGTGTATTTGCTGTCTAGCTTTAACAATTATTTTAAATTTTGTTAACAAATAATGATTTTTAACAAAAAAATTTTACAGAGGAATAATGCCCAATTTTTTCCCATTATCAAGCAAATTAATTCAATATTATTTTCTAATATTTATTTTTAAATATTTTCTAGACGCTGCTAAAGGAGATATTAATGTTAATTCAAACTTTGTGATTAAATGTAAAGACACTGACGGATGTTTTACAAAAAGTGTTCAATTTAAAAATTATGTCTACTGTATTTATTGCAAACGAAATCTAATTAATAAATCTAGCGTTCTTAATGTACATCTACAGTCGATATCACATTTAAACCATAAAGCTATATTTAAAGGTATTTTTATTATGGAGAATTAGAATGTTTAGGGCTTTCGAATTTTTGTATAAATTCGTGAATTCAGATTTATAGTCGAAAATTTTAAATATTCAAAGAATTTAATTGAATAAACTATTCAAATAATTTAATAAATATTTTGAAATTATATACTGTAAAACATTATTTTTTGTCGCTTCAATTTGTTAGGAGTTCAGATTTTAAGTTTAAGCTTAATGCTTATCAATTTTTAAAATTTTTAGGAAATAAATAAAAGCCAAAATTTTCTAATAAAATGAAAGTTGTTTTAATTTATATTTTTGTTTTGAGGACAAAATGATCCAATGAATATTCCAAACAATATTTCCAAACCAATAAGCAACGTTAATTCAGTTTATTCATCATCTGATGAAGAAAATGGAGGTAGTAGTTACTATTTTAAATTAATATTTTAATTAAATTTGTTGTGATAATAATTTAAAAATTAACTCAAATATTCTTGTTGTTTACTAGGGATGTTCCCCGACGGGGGCCACGGGAGATTTTTAATTATTTTTAATATCTTATCAAGACTTTTACGAGCTAGATTTACATCAAAAATTTAAAAATTCAAATAATTAACTTTATTTACTACATCCTTACTGACTCAGCTAAGATTAGACTTATTTGATAATTTTCTCAATAAAATAAATTCACTAATATTTATTAGTTTCATCAAAATCAAAAGTCTTGAAGAAAGGACAATCATTTACGCGTTATCTTAATCTCAAAAGGAAATATAAAAAATTGCAATATTGTGTTTACTGTAAACAACATTATAAAGGTTCCTGTGTTAAGGATCACTTAGGAAGAAAGAAACACAAAATGTTGAAAAGGGCTTTTGAAGGTAAATTTTAGTATTCAATTATTATGTTCAAACAAATAATAGTGATTATTTCAATATCCTTTTAGACGATTAAGATTTTTAATTATAAATTGGCACAACTCGTAAACAGTGCTTCGAAATTTCAAATTTGCTCGTACTCGTACCACCCCCATTTTTTTGCTCGTACTCGTACTAGTTTTTACGAGTCGTAAAAACTTGCAGAAATTTTTTTAAAATCATTATTAAACTCTTTATAATTAAAACATATTTATGATTCTAAAATTTAGCAAAAAACATCGTCAATAATGTTGAGAATACCAGTGGTACTTCAACACAAACAACACAATTATTTCAAGAATCAAATAAAGGTTATAAAGTTGACCCCCACATATTAATGCTGAATTCAGTCCCAAGGGTGATATGGATTTGAAATATTTTTTTACAAAATTATTTTATCTATCTTTATTACAAAAGCAATTATTGTTTTTCAGAAAATCAAAATTCAACAATAAATACATTAAAAGCTAAAAACAATTATTATTGTATTTATTGCAAACGTTACTATCCTAGAAGAAGTATGAGATATCACTTAAAAACTTTCAAGCATCTCAGACTGAAAAAAGCTTATAAAGGTTTAGATTTTTGATTTAATATACGTAAATAATTTAGTCTCTATTACAAATTAAAGACGCCCTTCTTTTACTCGAAAGATTATTTTTTTTACCTTAAGCGGTTTTTTATTTTGTTGGTAAAAATAATTTTTCATAATATAAAAAATATCTGCAAAAATTCAAATAAATTATCGTTTTTACAAGGAATCGTATAAAATAGATTTACTGTTTATTTTCAGAGTGCATAAATGATAAAAATATTCTAAAAAGTAAAGAAAATGTTGAAGAAAATTATGAAGAAATGATTGAATCAACTGGATGCTTCAAGAAAAGCTCATTAGGAAATAAATATGCTTTCTGTGTTTATTGTCAAATAGATATTTCATTCTTACGATTAATTAATTTAGAATATCATATGAAAACAACCAAACATGCTCTAGCAAAAAATGCTTTTGAAGGTAAATAGATAATGGAAATTAATTGAAAACTGTTTAAAACGGTTATATTGTTTTAGAACGGTTAGGTTAAATTCTTCATACATATTAAAGTATAATATGATTGAGGGGTTTTTGTGTGAATTTCGAAATATAAGTTTAAAGACATTAATCATAGTATACTGAAATGAAAACATTCAGAATTATAACACATTTGAAATTAAATATTTTTGATAAATTCAAGTAATTTTTAGCTATATGCGAAAATGATGTCAATAATAATGATTGTGATAACGAAGACGAAGTATTTAAAAATCGCAACAAAATAAGAAAAAAGTACAAAAATAATAAGGAATTTGAAGCAAGAGAAATAGGATTGTTTTATGAAAGTGATTCTAGTTTATCTTTAGACGAAGAGAGTAATGCAGCTAAAATTGCCTCGCTTATGAGCCAAAAAAGAAAAAGAAAAGTGCATAATTATTCAAACTTTTAATTTTAAAAAATGGAAAAGTAATATGTATTTTCTTTTTCATATCATTTTTTATAATTGAAAATATATTATAAAATATACTCAATAGAAAATACTTTTATAAAAAAGCTTAAATTCAGAATTTTGGCTTAAAGTTTTTAAAAACTTTTAAATTTTGATTTAATTTTAAGTATTTCTTTCGAAATACATTTCCAAAATTTATCCCAAGTAGTATAGAAATGAATTTAAGTTACTCTAGAGGAAAGATATAAAATTTTGTAAATAACTTTTACAAAAGGAAAAAAGGGAATTTTCTTCCAATTTTAGAATTTTAGTTCGAGAGTATTAAGTATTAGTGTAAATATTGGTAATATGATAGAAACCGATCCCTAAATTATGACAACACACCTCAAACTTTCAAGTTTTATCAAAAATATATTTTTAATTAAATGTTTACCTTTAAAATCTTAACGAGCTCCATTTGTACTTCCCTCTATTGTTGTATCCTCAACTGTACTTCCCTCATCTGTACTCCCTTCCGTAGGACTTTCGCTAGTATTATCCTCAATTGTAGTTTCTTGAATTGTAGTATCCTCAACTGTAGTTCCCTCCTCTGTGGTAGTTTCAATTTCAGTTGTTTCTGCCGGTGTAGTTGTTGTACTTTCTACAATAATATTAATTAAGAACTGTTTAACTGCCAGGAGTTTACGGATTCCTATTTAGCATGGTAACCAAACTAGTTTAATTCTAACTAAGATATTAGTTTTGGCTAAAGCTAGTAACTCCTAGAAGTTAACAGCCATTGTAATCATCTCAGACTATATGGAAATTCAGATCCGACAAATATAAGTAGAGAACAGGAAAAGATTCAAAACTAAAAAATACATAAAATTGAAAAAACCTAAAGTTCTCATTAAACTACAATTTTTAAATAAATACCCAATTATATATTTAAAACAAAACCAGTTGAAGTTGAGGTTGGAACAGTGGGAGGAGGGCAAGGATAATATACACCACAAGGTTGAACTACAGGTACACGATAAGCATATCCTTGTGCAAAACCAGGATTTGCCTGTTGATATGTTGGGACTTAAAAATTTAGGTTAAAATTTTATTTAATACATAAGCATAAATCACATATTTTTGAAATTACTCTGGGAACCTAATTTTTCTGTAAAGTGAAGGAGTACCGAGCACTTAAACGATTACGTTTAATAACGATTAGATCTCAATCCAAATTATAATTTATCAATAAATCTTTTCAAATCCAGCTCACAAGAGCACATAAGATTATTAATAATTTCGGAAATAATATGTGATTACTAACATAAGCTAGATTTAGTTCATCTGACTTAAAATCAACTTACAGCTTAATCACCCCCACAGAAGGACTTTCAGTTTTTATATTCAAAAATTAATTTTTTTTTTAATTTCCAAACCTTTTTGATGTCCCCCACCACCTCCAAGTCCATACTTATAACCACTACCTCCATAGCTTCCCCTTCCATAGCTTCCCCCTCCATAACTTCCACCGCCATAACCCCCACCACCATAACCCCCATAACTTCCCCCTCCGTAATATTCCAAGGAGAAAGGAAATATAATTGTCAAAATCATTGAAATGGAAGTAAAATAATTAGGCATTTTTAATTTATTTTAATTATATGTATTATTTTAATAATGTTAGCTAAATATAAAAATTATAAAAAACATTGACCGAGAGAAGAGGAATTTTATGAATTTTTGTTTAAAATTATAAGAAATATGTCGATTTAGAGGGGGAGGCATAGAGGAGAATGCTTTCTAGGGGGAGGCTGGAATAATTCTAAAAAGTGAACAATGCCTAGATAAATTTCAGATTGATTTAAAAACTGAATATCTACACAGTTTGGCAAGAATATTTATATATCCAAGAATAGTGAAAATATTTGACACTTAAACATGTTTATGAGTAATTTTTTAAGAGAAATTTTTTGTCATTTTACTTTTTTTAGAATAAAGTTTATATTTTAAAATGTTTTTCTTAGTCATTTCAAAAAAGTTGAAAATTATTTTAGTGTTATTTTAGTCACATAATGACATTTATGAATAAATTTTTTAATAAATTTTTTTTACAAAATTTTCATAAGTGACTATGTAGTAGTATGTACATATATGTAAATTAATCATACTTGAAAATTTAAAAAAAATTAAAAAGTGATATTTTTCTTGAAAAATATTTTTGTTTCTTTTATTTTTATCTAGCATTTACAATTAAATAAAATTTTTGTCATAAATGTCAGCCATTGTAATTTTTGATAATTTTTATTGGATAATTTTTTAAACGAAAATCTGCTATGTAAGTTACAAAACAGAAGCATTAGATCACGGACGGCACACTGACAATAGAAAGCCAATGTAAATTTATTGCTACTCTAAGAATCGTAAATTAAGTTTAATTCTCACATTGACAGAAATATCTAATGGAAACTACATATGTATACATATTCATTTTTTATTTTATTTAATTAAAAAAATTCAATTTCAAAAGAAACAGTATCTGATTTAAGTGTTAAACCAAAACATATAAACATCTAAAAATTTATTATTATAGTCATATCAATTAAGTGGTAATCATGGACAATCCGGGAGACACCTTAAAAACACCTTAAAATCCATTATTTTTTCTTGAAAATAGTTTATGTAGGTAATCGACCATGCTGAGTCCGAATCTGAGCTTAGAATTTGTTAATTTCGAACCCCGGACCCGATTTCGACCAAGTCGAATTCGGGGTAGAAATTCGAAATTACGATATTATGATCATTTTGACTCGTCTCTTCATTCTGAGTCGAATGGTATCAATATTATTCAGTTTCGACTATTTTGGGCGAAGTTATGATCAATTAAATAACGCTTGGTTAGACTTCCGTATACGAATCAGACATCATAACTTCGTCCAAAGTTGTCGAAACTGAATAATCTTGATACCATTCGACTCAGCTCGAATAGTCGCATCATATTAGCCATAAATTTTTAATTTCGAATTTTTTACCCCGAATTCGACTTGGTCGAAATCGGGTCCGGGGTTCGAAATTAACAAATTCTAAGCTCAGATTCGGACTCAGCATGGTCGATTACCTACATAAAACTATTTTCAGAAAAGAATATAATAATTTTTAAGGTGTCTCCCGGATTGTCCATGATTACCAATTAAGTAATTTAAAACAGATAATTAAAATAAATTTAAAAAAGTTTAGTTAAGCGACTAAAGCATAAAAATTAAACAAACTTTAATTTTAAACATTTTATGAGTTCGCGCCCAATTTTTAATATATTTATTTGCAATAGTTAAATAATTCTTTACATTTTTTAAATTTAACTGCTTTCCACATAAAAATTTTAAATTACACAAAGGATTTGCATGTAAGGTCTCGAATAATTTTTTTGATTTTTTAAGATTTTAAAAATAAAATCTTTTTTAAGATTTTTATTTGATTTTAGAATCATATTTAGAGATTAACAACTTAAGCAGTGAAATTTAATTTTCAAAAAAATCTTTTCCTCTTTTTCAAAGTATAGCCTATCGAAAAATCGAATTTCGGTGTAGACCTATTTTTATTTCTTCGACATTTTATACTTTAAGTGTCCGGTATATGTTTTCTCTCCAAAAAATGAAAATTTTGTTTATAAGTTATATGTAGTAGAAGAAAAATGTATAATTTAAACGAAGTTAATAAAAACTTTTCTTCAAATAAAAGTACCAAAAACTACAACAACACAGTTAACGAAGAAGATGAAGACACGAGTGACACAGTATCAATTCCTGATGTATCTGAAATTTTAAAAGCAGCTGAAGCATTGAAAAAGGAATTGGGAACTAAAGAAGAATCAGGTCTGCAAAGAAAAGACATTAGTATTTCTGTTGCCGGGTTTGCCCGACATTAGTATTTCTTAAAATCGAAAACTAATAAGATAGAAATTTAAAGCAATCCAAATAACATTTACTTAACAAAAAAACATAAAATGAGAATTTCGTCGAAATTTGGTTACACTTTTGCAGGTTACATAGCCACAGGACTTTGCTCGCTTCCTAAGCTTTTAGTTGCTGTCACATATAAAATCTCTTTTACAATAACCCCAAATATTCAGATATTAAACTCTAAAATATTTAAAATATTTTTAAAATTATCTCAAGAAAACTGTTGATAATTGCTTATATTAAGAGGATTAAACAAAATAATGTTTTATTAAAGCTACTTGGGATAAATTTTGGAAATGTATTTCGAAAGAAATACTTAAAATTAAATTAAAATTTAAAAAGTTTTAAAAACTTTAAGCCAAAATTTTGAAATATTATAAAAGTATTTTCTATAGAGTATAGAAGAAGAAAAGAAAAAGAGAATGTGAAATACAACACATTTTCTCTAATGAATGAAAAAAATTGATTAAATTTTAAATCCCATCAAATCATTTAAATTTTATGGACATTTTGTCCGTCTATTTTTCCAATTCCTTGGTTTAATTACCCAAGTTTAAGGTATGTATTTCTATACTACTTGGGATAAATTTTGGAAATGTATTTCGAAAGAAATACTTAAAATTAAATTAAAATTTAAAAAGTTTTAAAAACTTTAAGCCAAAATTTTGAAATATTATAAAAGTATTTTCTATAGAGTATAGAAGAAGAAAAGAAAAAGAGAATGTGAAATACAACACATTTTCTCTAATGAATGAAAAAAATTGATTAAATTTTAAATCCCATCAAATCATTTAAATTTTATGGACATTTTGTCCGTCTATTTTTCCAATTCCTTGGTTTAATTACCCAAGTTTAAGGTATGTATTTCTATACTACTTGGGATAAATTTTGGAAATGTATTTCGAAAGAAATACTTAAAATTAAATTAAAATTTAAAAAGTTTTAAAAACTTTAAGCCAAAATTTTGAAATATTATAAAAGTATTTTCTATAGAGTATAGAAGAAGAAAAGAAAAAGAGAATGTGAAATACAACACATTTTCTCTAATGAATGAAAAAAATTGATTAAATTTTAAATCCCATCAAATCATTTAAATTTTATGGACATTTTGTCCGTCTATTTTTCCAATTCCTTGGTTTAATTACCCAAGTTTAAGGTATGTATTTCTATACTACTTGGGATAAATTTTGGAAATGTATTTCGAAAGAAATACTTAAAATTAAATTAAAATTTAAAAAGTTTTAAAAACTTTAAGCCAAAATTTTGAAATATTATAAAAGTATTTTCTATAGAGTATAGAAGAAGAAAAGAAAAAGAGAATGTGAAATACAACACATTTTCTCTAATGAATGAAAAAAATTGATTAAATTTTAAATCCCATCAAATCATTTAAATTTTATGGACATTTTGTCCGTCTATTTTTCCAATTCCTTGGTTTAATTACCCAAGTTTAAGGTATGTATTTCTATACTACTTGGGATAAATTTTGGAAATGTATTTCGAAAGAAATACTTAAAATTAAATTAAAATTTAAAAAGTTTTAAAAACTTTAAGCCAAAATTTTGAAATATTATAAAAGTATTTTCTATAGAGTATAGAAGAAGAAAAGAAAAAGAGAATGTGAAATACAACACATTTTCTCTAATGAATGAAAAAAATTGATTAAATTTTAAATCCCATCAAATCATTTAAATTTTATGGACATTTTGTCCGTCTATTTTTCCAATTCCTTGGTTTAATTACCCAAGTTTAAGGTATGTATTTCTATACTACTTGGGATAAATTTTGGAAATGTATTTCGAAAGAAATACTTAAAATTAAATTAAAATTTAAAAAGTTTTAAAAACTTTAAGCCAAAATTTTGAAATATTATAAAAGTATTTTCTATAGAGTATAGAAGAAGAAAAGAAAAAGAGAATGTGAAATACAACACATTTTCTCTAATGAATGAAAAAAATTGATTAAATTTTAAATCCCATCAAATCATTTAAATTTTATGGACATTTTGTCCGTCTATTTTTCCAATTCCTTGGTTTAATTACCCAAGTTTAAGGTATGTATTTCTATACTACTTGGGATAAATTTTGGAAATGTATTTCGAAAGAAATACTTAAAATTAAATTAAAATTTAAAAAGTTTTAAAAACTTTAAGCCAAAATTTTGAAATATTATAAAAGTATTTTCTATAGAGTATAGAAGAAGAAAAGAAAAAGAGAATGTGAAATACAACACATTTTCTCTAATGAATGAAAAAAATTGATTAAATTTTAAATCCCATCAAATCATTTAAATTTTATGGACATTTTGTCCGTCTATTTTTCCAATTCCTTGGTTTAATTACCCAAGTTTAAGGTATGTATTTCTATACTACTTGGGATAAATTTTGGAAATGTATTTCGAAAGAAATACTTAAAATTAAATTAAAATTTAAAAAGTTTTAAAAACTTTAAGCCAAAATTTTGAAATATTATAAAAGTATTTTCTATAGAGTATAGAAGAAGAAAAGAAAAAGAGAATGTGAAATACAACACATTTTCTCTAATGAATGAAAAAAATTGATTAAATTTTAAATCCCATCAAATCATTTAAATTTTATGGACATTTTGTCCGTCTATTTTTCCAATTCCTTGGTTTAATTACCCAAGTTTAAGGTATGTA